AATTGATGATGAGGGGAAGGGATAGCAGCTGCTATGGCTGCACAGGTTTTGGCACCTGATTCTGTGCAGGTTGGCTTGCTGCCCAACCTGTACAGAAAGTCCCTCACGCTTGGTTCCCTCCTTTGTGATTACTTTTCTCGTGGTAGTTCTCCTTTAGGACAGCTTTAAATATATCCCAGCTAAAGCGTGGCTGTTCTCTCCCACCGACTGCAGGGCGACTCGTGCATTGCAGGCATGGTTTCCCTTCCTGCTTGCCATGGCGGAGGCTGCAAGAAGAGAAGGGACAGGATGGGAAAGGAAAATATTTTCAGTTGAAAGGGACCTACAATCATCATCTAGTCCAACTACCTGTTTTCTTCTTTTGCAAAGCAAGGAGGGGAAGTGAGGATGGTGAGAAGCGGAGATCATTGCCCCAAGCAAGTGTTTGTTTGTAACTGATTCAGAGCTAAATTCAGACTTTCTGAGTGCCAGGCAGTAGAGCTGTTAGCATATGTGCTAAAGGATGACAAATAAAGCATGGTGAAGTATACGGCAGAATAACATATGGCAATCTAGACAGGCTCTCAGCAAGAGAAGAGCTCAGGAGAGCCAGCGCTCCTGCACCCATCCAACACCTCTAGTCATGTTAAATGCTATTTTAAAATAGACAGCCGCATGTCAGCCTTTGCATGGCGGAAAGATGCTTCACCTGCTGTGTCCTGCCTGAGCTGCTGTAACGTCTGCTCTGAACAAGCCTGAGCAATTTCTTCTCAGGTCAGCTCATTCCTGATGTCTCTCCTGTGGCACCTCTGTTGCAATGCCATGCTCCCTAAAGCTGCTGATAAGCGAGATACTAGGGCAGTCTGGAGACCAGCCCTGGTCTGTGAGCGAAGGCAGGAGGCTGTGGGTGCCGGGGCTGGACAGGAGGGGACAGATTGTGCTCATAGCAGGAGCAGGCTCTTGCACCACCATCACAGCAGTGTGTGCGAGCCCATGCTCACACAAGTGCATTAGTGTCAGCTTTTAAATTAGCAGATCTTGCTTGTTAGCAGAGAGCTCATGAAAATTCACAATCTAAGAGATGTCTGGTGTATTCCTCTAGTAATGATTTCTGGCAATCAGCATAAAGGAAGAAAAGGCACTGGGGAGATTTTTTACCTGACAGAAACAAGGCTATATGCCAACAGTAGTACAGAGCGTTCCCTCTCCCTGGCCCTGGCCCCTTCCCCTTCCCTTCACTGTGCTGCAGATCCAGAACAGCAAACAGGGCGGGCAAAAGGTGGATTTTTATCAACTGTTTGCTCTGGTTCTTTGTTTTGCCTTATTTATTATTGGTATAAACCTGTTCCTGGCTTTGGGAGAAATTGGTAAAATGCTCTGAAGAAACCAGGCACCACAAACCTTCAGGGCATGGCAAGTAACTACAGCTTGTCAGGACATGTTTTCCCCTGGAGTGAAACACCGTCATAAGCCCATTTATTTCAGGCAAAAATTAGCTGCCTTAAATTTGCAGCTATGCAACGAGCCACTGATCTGCCTGTGTTTGCTGTGCCAGAGGGGCTGAGTGCTGTTGCTTCACTGCCGGAATATTTCTTGGAATTGTGGACAAAGTTGAGTTGCTTTTCTCTCCACACCCAGTAAGTTACCTTGAGCATGGCATGCTGGCTCCCTCCTGGGGCTGGGTGGGGAGTCTGTGCTCTGCAGACACCTTTCTATCTAAATCCTGTTTGGGCAGATGAGAGGTGCCGTGCCCATGCTCCGGGGTGTCCTGCCCTGCTGCAATGGGCTCCCAAGAGGTGCAGGCCCAAGGCAGCAGCCACGCACACTGGCCCACGCTCCCATGCTCTGAGAGCACCAGGCTGGTCCCTTGTGCGCCTCAGGAAAAGCTGTTCCCGTTGGGTTTAAACCCACTGGTTTGAGTAGGTACTGGCTTTGTTGCTGGAGCTTGGGGCACTGCCCCAGCCCTGCCTGGTGGCCTCAGCACAGGCAGCCACACGGTGTTTCCGCCTGCACTCCACTGCTGTCTCCACAGCCAGCAGTGTGAGAGTTTATTGTAGTTACTGCGTTATCGCTGCTGCCCATCTGTGCCCTTCCTGGACAACTTCTTTCCCTGGCCCAGCACAGAGGATCAGTTTCAACAGCAAACACTGGTTTTGGCATATCGCTTCTCCAAATGTAGAGTTCCTTTCATTCCTTCATGCATGATGGCAATTAAAGTGAGAAGAAAGATCAGCAGTGGGATTGTTTGGATGCAGGGACTTCATGCCCAGGCTAAGTTAGGTTTCACCTTGCCTTCCTTCACTGCTTTTTGTTCCTGCTTGCTGCAGCCGCAAAAAGTGTTTTCAAAGTATGAGGGGAGCACAGCAGGTGAGCCCACACAGGGGGGTTGGACTAGATGATCTCCAGAGGTCCCTTCCAACAATAATGATTCTGTGATTCTGTAATGAAAGACTACAGGAATTTGTGTCTTTTTTTGTTAACCAGAGGCTCAGGGACAACCCTGCTAGGGTAAGCGCAGGAGGAGGACAGTCGGGTCCTGGGCACAGTAGCTCGGCAGCCTCTGGTCCCCTGTTTACCTATTTCACAACAAATTCCATTTTGTCATGATCTGACGGGAGAGCTGAGCAGGCAGCATGCCCAGGCTGGGCTCTCACAGCCCTGTCGCACACACCCTGAGCCAGCCACTGTCCCTGCAGCACAGCAGATTCTGCTGTCAGTGCTCCCTCTCCAGTGTCACCTCCGTGCTGACAGTCCCATCCGTGGCACTAGTGGGGTTGGCAGTGCTGAGCTGCTCGCCATGAGAGCACACAGTGAGGCGATGGCTGATGAGGTCGTTCCTGTCCTCTCTTGTATCACGGTCGCGCTGTTGGCTAGCCTGCCACTTCCCTGCTCTTGCTGCCAGCAGCGCTCTTCTTCCGCCCCTAAGTAACCTGTGGCTCCTGCCAGAACTCTGCCATTGCCCTGCGGTTCGTTTGTTATCCTCACCCTGCCTCAGCCGGTAGCACAGACAATAAGTATACTTTATCCCATAAATCATTCCTGTTCCAAAAGGCAATTTTCTTGAGTGCTTGCTAAACACAGTGGTAGCGTTGCAGTGCTGTACAGTTGTCACTGCTGTTGATCTCCATCCCATAGCTGGGATTCTGTGCCAATGGGCGCAGGGTGCCTGGAACCGGTTGGTCTGTCATCCTGACCTGCCTTGTGCTCTTCTATGCAAAAGAGGTTCCTGCCTTGGCTGACCCTGGTACCACTCTGGTGGCAGCTACAAGCTGTGTGACTTGGCGAGGGGAGTGGTGAGGTCTGAGGAAGAGTGAGCTGTGGTGATGGAGAGCCCTGTTTAGGGCCACATTGGAGCAGCCCCAGCAAGGGATGTGTGTCTCCCTGCTGCAGGTAGTGTGCAGACACATCATGGCTGAGGGGAGAGAGCGACCTTGTATTGCTTTGCCACTAGCAATCACAAATTGGTTCAGCAGTGTGCCAGGGCAGGGACATGAAAGCGAGCACAAAGCGGAGGCGGCAGCAGTTTCTTCTACACAGCAGAGCAGAGTCCTAGACTTCTCTTTCTTCAGCCCTCACAAGCAGAAAGCCTGCTGCGGGGTCAGACGTGAGACCTCTTTTTCTTCCAAATGCACAGATGCTTGTAGATGATAAAACAATGGTTTGTACTCAGAAGCAGGAGCTGAAGGAATAGCCTCAGGACATAGTTTTGTTAATTGGTAAAGACATCAGCTCTGTTAAATTTCTGTCCCCACTTAGAAACTGGCTTGTATGAGCTGACCCAGTGGGGGCTGTTGGGGGGTTAGCGTACCTGCCCCGTGGCAGGGCATGTACCCACTGTGGTTGTGTGGGGCTGGCATGGGCTGGGAGCTGGTTACAAGCACTGGGATGAGTGTGTCCACCATAAACAGCAGCTGCAGGCAGTGCTGGCAGCAAGAAGCCACAGACCAGCAGAAGAGCCAGGGCTTGTGGAACAGGGTGAACGCTGTTGGCTGTAATACTGGTGGTAAAAGGGAATTTTGATTTTGAACAAGAAAACTGTCTCCTGCAGTATGTGCAAAAAATAAAAGAATTAGAGGTATTATTTTTTTAAACTAACAGGTTTCAAGAAATGAATACCTGACTTCTTTGTGAATTTCCAGTCTTAACAGGAACAATCTGCAAGATCCTGAATAAGGGCTGTATTTAACCCAATCCTGAAAAATCAAAGGATTTCCATTATATTCTCAGCTAAATTGTTAGTATTTTTTGTGGTGCTCTGTACTATGTGTTGCCTAAAAAGGGTATGTCTGCACAGGTTTCTGTTGTTTATGCATCATTCAGTGTGACAGGGAGAGAAGTGCTGGGGACGGTGGCTCAGGAGCTAGTGACGGAAATGTAGAGGGAGGGCTGGCTGGAAGCATTTGCTGCAGGGCTGGATCTTGCTGTGCCCCAGGACAGGTGTGAGATGTGTAGGGGAGCATGAAGGTCCTAGGGCTGCCAGGTCTCTCCATGGTCCCTCTCCAACCTTTAAAGCTCACCAGTGGTCCAGCTGCTGTCCTGTCCTATACAACAAGAAACTACTGCAAGGTTTTGTCATTAGCTGTCTGCTTCTCTGTGCCTCTTTGTATTGGAGTTAGCTGCTCCAGTCCTACATAAACTGTGGCGAATGCCATCGCCAGCAAGTTCTCAGCTTGCTCCATCCCCTCTGCAGCCAGCAGCAGCCCCTTCCTGGCCAGCCCTCCTCATGGCCCTGCATTCACTGATCATCTGCTGAGAGCATCCACAGAGGCTCATACAAAATGCAAATGGATGGAATGCTGCCTGGTTTGCTAAGATGGAGCAGGGAAGCAGCTCTCCCTCACTCAGGACACCAGCTGGCAGGAGAGCAAACATGGGCTCCATGGTGCTCTCTGACTCTTGCTCCTCTCTGCTTGCTCCTTTCTTTCCCAGCATGTTCCTCCTCTCCAGGCTCTGAATCCAGATAGTGCCTGTTGTTTGATTGTTTTTTCTCCTTTTTTTGTCTACTTTTTTTTTTTTTGTCCATGGGTATTTTCATCCTTTTGTCCTTCCCTCTCAGGGCTTGTGAGTGCATGTTACAGATGCCGGTGCCTGTGGGTGCAGGCAGGAGGGAGAACTGAGTGGAGATTTCAACCACAACAAGGCACATGACACAGGGCTGAAGCAGAGTTCATAAAGCCACTGTGCTTGTCAAGCCCAATCACAGCTCAAGAACAGGAGAAAAAATTTCTCCTTAGGTGGTGTTCGGCTGACTGTGCCCCAGCCCTGTCTCTTACAAGCTGTGAGCTCCTGCCACCATGCCCTGCACTGATGGGGTGCCTGTGGCTACTTCAGGGCTGGAGCAGGGGGACATGGCAGCATGGCTGGGCTTGGTGGTAGCTGCTGCATTGCTCTGTGTGCTAAATTTGTAGCATCTGAGTTTTCTCTTTGCATGGCTGCTCAGACAGTTTCCTACAGCCCTGGGGGATTAGGGGCTTTCAAGTAATGATGAAGCTACACCAGCTCCATTATATTAAAATAAGGTGTCCAGACCTTACCTTATCCAACTTTATTGAGATGGAATGCACATAAAGGGAATAAATGCTGCTTTCAGAGGAGATGTCCTGGTCCTGCCAGTGCTGGCTCTGTATTTCAGTGCTTTGTGGACACACGTGCAGGAGCATTGCAAAGCCATCCCTGCCTTTCTTCCCTATTTCCTGCACCCAGTCCCAATCAAGCAGACTTGAAATGTGTATTTTTGAGGGTTTCAGATGGTTCCTTTCCTTTTCCCTGTATTTATCATCATTTCTCTCTTTTTACACATCTCCTTTCTCATGCTTGGCCATGTGCCCCATGGCCTTTCCCCTTCTCCACAAAGGCTGGAGCAGTGTTTGTCCTGCACTGCTCCCCAACCTGCTGTCCCACTCTACAGGCTTGGGAGTCCAAGGCCCCAAGGCCTGTGACAGCACTGGACAGGCAGAGACCATGCAGCTGGAGACAGGTGGGAGAAGCTTGAGAGGGGTTAAAAATCATAATATGAAAATCAAACTGGTTTCTTGCAGCCTTCAGGACATACCCTTGCTGTTCTCTGCAACTCTGAGGACCAGAGACCTACCTTAATGCAAGTAAGTGATCTTGCAGCTCCACAGCTTCACCACAGTTCTTAAGGTTTTAAATCACCAAACAGGGCAAGGATTCTGCTGAAATCTCACAGCCCTCAAAGGCAGAGATTTAACAAGCCACAGGCTAAGCCTGGAGGCCAGAGGGAGGCAGGAATGGGGCCATAAGTGTTCTCACAGATATGTGAGCTGAATTTGGAAAATGCATGCAAAGGGATGCTGTGGTGGACCTGTGTGCCACAGCATGCCCTTGGAGAAGGGCTGTGTGGAAACTGGGCTGTTCGCAGTGCTGCCAGAGAAGAGGCTTAGGAAGGGCATTCCTGTGCCAGGACCTGACTGCCGGGATGGCAAGTCATGACAGTGCCCAGTGGCTCTGGGTGGGTAGGGTGGCACGGTACTGAGGTCACAGGGTGCTGGAGGACAGCCCTGCTCCTTTCTTACCCTGTGAACAAGGCTCAGAAAGACTTTCATTAGTGTGGCCCTTCTGCATAAACCCAAATTACCTGCAGATGGAATGAAATGGGACAGATGACCCCCAAGATCCCTTCCTTATCCAACCCTAGTATCTCTGAAGGCTGCAGATCTGAGGCACTGTTATGCCTCATTTGCACACTAAGACAAGGGATTTCTGCACTTTGCTGTGGGAGGTGTGGGACTGAAGGGCAAGTAGCTTTAGTCATTCAAGAACTGCGGTAATTCTCTGGAAATACAGTTTTGGCATGTTCCATTTAATTTTTTTAAGTGTTTGTGCCAAGCACTTGCTGGATGCAGATGAAAATTGTGCAATAAAGCATGTAAATATCCCGGAAGAGTCACAGGTTATCTTAAAACTGTTCCAGACTGGCTAAGCATTTATTAATGAGCAGTCACGTTAAGTCCCTGTTACATGATGTTCATCTGATCTTCAGGTCCATTCATCACCCTGAAAGTCATCCATAAAATTGACCTTCCAAGTTTTTTCTTTTCTAGTCTAACATATGAAAACCTCTATATTCTTCTGTTCTTATACCAAACAGAGAAGATTGGAAGTGCTTGAAACAGTCTGTTTTTATAAAATTGAGCATTTTAAACAGATGAGGTACTAGAAATTCATTAGAAAACTAAATAAATGACACATGAAGCCAGGGCAGAAACAAGTGGGTTAATAATTTGACCTCTACAGCTCAGAAAAAAAGAAGTTCATATATTTTCATAGTCATAAAGCTGAGAGCTCTGTGACTTTGACTCTTTCTCAGCCTGCATAGAATGTGCCAGGATGGGTAGAACAGAGGCTTTAGAATAAAACAAAAAATAAGCCAGAAGAAGAGTCTTGTGAACAAGTCAGTATGTGACTGGGTTTGTTTTTTTTTTTCTGCATGCCCAGAGGTACCAGTGGCTATCAGATGGTTAGATTCTCCTATTCTAGGTGTAAACAAGATGGTGGGCAGGGGTGGCTCTGGTCCAGCCTGGACAGTCCCCAGGATGCAGGCCAGGGGACCTGTGGGTGTGAGGGTCTCTGCTCCCCTCATGGGCACCCATCCTACTGCCAAAGCTAAGAACAGAAGCATGGCATTATACAAACTGCGCAGCCAGCCTGCATCCCTCCAGTCCTGGCTGACTGGCATGTGGGGGAGCTGTGACACAGCATCCGGTTACTGGGCTGCAGAATTAAATGCAGCTATAGCAACGATTGGTAATGATGGCTATAAGGGCCCCTGCACAACACTGCTGGGAGAGACCAGGCAGCATGGGACAGGCAATCCTTTCAACCAGGAGGCCTTTCCCGTGAGCCCATCCAGTTAGCAGCTGCAGGAGAGACAAGGTTTGAATTTCTGTCTCCAAGGACAGCACAGGGAGGTTTTTGCAGTGATTTCTCTGTCAGAGACATGACAGAGTTCCATACCTTGGCACTGGGTGTGAGTTTATCATCAGAGGACCTGTGTGTTGGAACACCTTGCTGACTTTGGCAGATGTTGACCTTGCAGCACAGCTACTAGAGGAAACAGCCATCAGATGGCTGGGTTGGAAGGGACCCAAGGAGGTTGCCTGGGCCAGCCCCATCCGAATCTAGGCTGTTGTGGTGAGGTCAGACCCCATATGCAGTCTTGGACAAACTAAACCATGTATGCATATTTCTATATTCAGATATTTCAGCAATTCAGTTTGCCATCATTCCAGCTGTTGTGCAAATATGCATGCTTGTTAAATATGCATAAGCCATCACTGAAACTCAGTACCTCCATAGGCTGTCATGTGCCAGAAAAAAGTTTTAGATGTAGAAGGAGCACTGTTGTGATTTTGTTCATGCTATAGTCAAATCTACTTGCAGCATAAGAATTCTGTTTCCTGTTGTTTGGGAACATGAAAATTTACTTTACAGCAGTGTTTAGCACTGAGTGGCATGATTTTGAAATGGGACATTTAAGAGTAGCTACATTTCATGACGCAGGAATTTAGATAAATTATCTCTCAGACCCACAACCAGCCCTCACTTACATGGGTTTAAATCTGAACCAGTTCAGCTTGCAGTTCCAATGCAGTAACACCCTGCCTATGTTCATGAGGTCTGAAATTAACCTTTCACAGCTCTGTGTGCTGAAACAATGAATCAAAGTAATGCCAGTCCTGTAAAGCCAGGGGCGTGATCAAAGCGTTGCAAAGAGCTCACTTACAGCAATGCTTGCCCCCTGCCTAAACCTGAACTCAGGCTCCCATTTGCAATCCCAGAAAGCACAGAAGCTGACCCCCAATCCACAGGTAAGTTGTGAAAAAACAGAACCAAAGAGTCAGTGCAGTGGACAGAACAGTGGACAGTGCAGTGGACAGAACACACCTGTGTGTTCAGCACGACTGAAACCAGGCTGTTTTACTTGCAATACCCCACAGCAGCATGCAGCAGACATTGCCATCAGAGTTAATGGTTAACCTCCAAAAAAAACTGGCATTGATAACTATTCAAAGCCAAGGTATTTTGAGTTGACCCATGGGAAAACAGGAGCTGGTGATATCAAGCTGGCCTGGGTGAGGTGCAGTGAGTGTGTGCAGGCTGCAGCCGGCAGTGGTCACGTTTAGAATGGAAAAAGGCTCTCAATAGCATCATGTTGGCTGGGACTGTTGGCAGTTTTCACACAGACCATTTTCCCATTGTAAAATGCCAATCTGTCAAAAGCAAACGCATTTCAGTGAAGAGAGTCCATTTTGATGAATTTCCACATCAGCAAAATACCTAACAAAAAAAATGATTCATTAATGTCATCCCAAGCTGACATTTTCAGAGCATGATGTCTAGACTGCCATATAGGAACTTCATTACTTTGAAATATATTTCCTTTTATATTAGAAAAGGCCATTTTAAAAAAGTTGTAATTGTAGCACAGTGCTTTGCTACACTAAAAAGCCTACCCCTCCCCAGCCCAGCTCTGATTTTCGGAGAAATACTGAACCTTTAACTTCCACTCAGTGCTGGGACAGAAATTAACCAGCATTGCTGGCAAGAATGGCATTTTGTATCCCACAACGGGAGTAATGAGTCTAACAACAGTTCTGCATTGCAGCGCACCAAGGCTCTGTGCAGCAAGTCTGCAAGGTCAGAGGGTCTGTGCTTCCTCAGGGCTGTGCGTGCCTGAGGTTCTGGGTGCCTGGGGCTATGGATGATTTGGTTTTGGGTGCCCGGGGCTGTGCCCTGATGTTATGGGCCCACCGGGCCAAAAATAATTCACCTTTATGTTGCCAATCTAAGTCCATCTGAGCCACTTCAATCTTAGCCGCTTTATCCACTTGTTGGTTGTTCTGGTGTTCCTCAGTGGCCCGACTCTTGGGTACATGAGCATCTACATGGCATACCTTCACCACCAGGTTCTGCACCCGGGCAGCAATATCTTTCCACAGTGCAGCAGCCCAGATGGGTTTACCTCTGCGTTGCCAGTTGCTCTGCTTCCACTGCTTCAACCACCTCTACAGGGCATTTGCCACCATCCATGAGTCAGTATAGAGATAAAGTACTGGCCACTTTTCTCGTTCAGCAATGTCCAGGGCCAGCTGGATGGCTTTCACCTCGGCAAACTGACTCGATTCACCCTCTCCGTCAGCAGTTTCTGCAACTTGTCGTCCAGGACTCCATACAGCTGCCTTCCATCTCCGATGCTTTCCCACAATGCTGCAAGACCCATCAGTAAAGAAGGCATACTGCTTTTCACTTTCTGACAGTTCATGATATGGTGGGGCCTCTTCAGCGCGCATCACCTCCTCCTCTGGTGACATTCCGAAATCTTTGCCCTCTGGCCAGTCCATGATGACTTCTAGAATGCCTGGACGACTGGGATTTCCTATTCGGGTTTATTGTGTAATTAGTGCAGCCCATTTACTCCATGTAGCATCAGTTGCATGATGTGTAGAGGAGACCCTGCCTTTGAACATCAGGCCCAGCACGGGCAACCGGGGTGCCGGGAGGAGCTGTGCTTCAGTGCCAATCACTTCCGAAGCAGCTCGAACCCCTTCATAGGCTGCCAGTATCTCTTTCTCAGTTGGGGTATAGCTGGCCTCAGATCCTTTGTATCCCCGACTCCACAAGCCAAGGGGTCGACCTCGAGTCTCCCCTGGAGCTTTCTGCCAGAGGCTCCAGGTAGGACCGTTCTCCCCAGCTGCAGTGTACAGTACGTTTTTTACATCTGGCCCGGTCCGGACAGGTCCAAGGGCTACTGCATGAACTATCTCACGTTTAATTTGCTCAAAGGCTTGTTGTTGCTCAGGGCCCCATTTAAAATCATTCTTCTTCCGGGTCACATGATAGAGGGGGCTTACAATTGAACTGTTAAGTTGGGATGTGCATTCTGCATAACCCCACTGCACTGCATCAGCTACCAAGAAGGAGAAAAATGACGGCTACTGCTGAAGCCAGGACGCCTGACTGCGCTGCACCCTGGCCCAGAGCACTGTGTGCTTTCCCCCATGCTGCCCAGGGTGTCTTTGCTGATGGATGGGTCCAAGCTGGTGCTGAGACTGGCTCCAGGGATGCACTCCTGGTGGCCAGTCCCAGCCTTCAGTGATGTGTTTGTTGCATTTCAAGAGGAGTCTACAGAATGAGAAGCATCTGTCTATAAATTCTTGGCAAAACCATCTAATCCAGGATCCTTAGTTTCTTACAGAAAACATGACAGAGGTGCTATTTTTGTAATTCCTTCATAACTCTCCTGTTCTATGAAGACCAGACAGATCCTGCAGAAAATTAACTCCCTGAGTTTATCAGCCCTGGGACCAGCTCTGGGATGGACCCAGGGATGACTGTGGGCACATTGGGCTGTGAGACTCAAGACATCCCACTTTAATAGGCACTGATCACCTTGCCCAGTGCAGCCCAGGCATCTCAGCCAGGAAATAATGGTGTTACCATTCTGCTACTTGGTCGAAGAGCCTATTTCTAGCTACACTGCCCTTCTAATATGTAACAATATTTTGCATTTTCTTTGTGTGGCAAGGTCAGGATCAGAAGCAAAAGCCTGCAGTGGAAGGCAAGCCTCTTCAGCACCTTGCATTTTGATGCAAAAGCATGTCATCAGCAGAGCTGGTGCACTGTGTATGAGGAAGTATTCTAAATACCTTAATTGTCATTTAAAATTATAGGCATAAAACATTAAGCTCCATCAGATGAAGTGCAGGGCAGACCTGCCAGGAGTACATAAACCTCATTTGCAGCAGGACTTGAGGCTGGGCAGGGTCCACTTGGGCTCCTGGGACCCTCCTTGTGCCTTGGGAGGATCTTAGTGAATATCTGCCTGTCCCAAGCCTGGGCTCGTGTGAGCAGCTTTTGTCAGGTTCATCTGTTGTGCTCACTCCTCACTGCTGAATACTGGTGTTGATCACAGCAAAATTTACTTCTGTTTCTGGTTATCACTGCGTAGGAAAAAAATGTTAGTTAATGAGTGAATTAATGACGAATTATGCATCCTATTTGCTAGGAGTTAATTTTCAGAGCATATTTTCACATGCTTTTTAGCTTCTCCGGAGCAAGGCTAGAAGGGAAGGAGACAGGTGCCACCTTGTGTGGAAATGCTTCTCATGCAATAGGCAAGCAGAATTTCTTTCCTTTTTTTTTTTTTTATTGGCCACATCTCTGACAAGCTCTTCACTTACAACTGAAATGCAGCCAGCCCTTTATTAAACCATGCCAGCTGTTTAAAAATGCATAGTGGCACAGAACACTTTCACTGGCTGTCTCTGGATGGACTAGACCCATTCATTTCTTCTCAAGGCTTGCAGCATTGCATACTCAGTTAAAGCAAGCTGAAAACCGAATGACAAGAGACAAGTGAGATCAGGACATCCACAGGGTTAACCGAAGCAGTCCCATTTTTCATCAATTTCTGCTGTAAGTGACATCAGCCCCATCACGAGCAGTGCTTTCTGCACCGACTAGCTGTAGGTGTCTCAGCAGAGTCATTTTCTGTGAAGAGTGGCTTGTTCAGCGATGCAGTGATGAGCCCGATCTGCCCCGTGGCAGGTAACCTCCACGCTGTGCGCTGCACTGTGGAGGGGGAGGCTGCTCTTGGTATTGCGCACTCTGGCCAGGCCAGCTGGCTGCACCACACACGGAGAACGCACACTTCTGCATGTGTCTGGGGTCTCCGGGCACGTGGGGACGTTCAGCGCCGTCCATCGGAGGCGCTCTGGGGTATCGCACTGCTCTGCAGCCAGCAAACTCTGTCGGGCTACGCAGCAGGCACCCTTATCGCTGCTGCCAAAGACAGCAGCGTTTGACTGAAGGCAGGAAAATAAATAAAAGCAAATCAATGGATGTGCTGAAGAGTGTCATCAGAACAAATGTCCTGTAGCCAATCTGCTAAAAGCCACCTGAGGAAACGTACCTAATGTAAAAGTGAGGAAAACAGAGCCATTCAGTTGATTCTTGAGCTGGAGCAGGAGCAGGCTGTCCTTCCTGACGTGGTGCAGCTGATAATGAAGCAAACTGATGGGACAAATCATTAAGGGGTAGAAGTGGACAGCACTGGCACTTCTGCCTTTCACAGCACTTCTGGGACGGAAGAGCAGTGTGGATGAGCCAGAGGGAGGACGATGGGTCCCTCTCACCAGCCTGTACATCCAGGCTTTGGCAGAGCTGAAACTGGAGCACTGTGCTCCATCTTCTCTCCCTGCTGTTCATCTGTTTTGGTTATTAATTACGTGTCCTACTACTGCCGTTTGGCTTACTCAAATGGCCTTGGGGCACCTCTGTGCTACAGTGCCTTTGCACTAAAACAGGCACTGCGGCTCTGAAAGCCTCACCTTGTTTGTGCTGCAGACACTGTACAAACTCCTTCTGTAAAACCAAATGCAGTTTCCAGTAATTATTTATGTGCTAGCCAGCAGACCTGGCAGGCTGGGCAGGCGTGCTGATGAGACATTAGTCTTCACACAAGCTGGTGGTGCATCTCTGTATCTGCAACAAACCCACTGACAAATATTTACATTCCTGCACTCACCTCCAGCTCTAGCAGTAATTATTTTATCAAGATGATAAAAATAGCAGTCTTCAAGACAGCACTAGCAGTTGACCAGAGCTGTGTATCCCAGGCCTCTATGAAAAATTAAGGCACCTTCTCCCACACAGGAAATGTCTACTGCCAAGGAAATGTGGGGCTGCTGGCGTGAGGATGCTGCTGCGCAAGGTCAGACCCCAAGCAGCTTTTCCAGGCACCGTAATGGCTTTCCCCTGCAGCTCAGCATATCCTTACACTGCACAGAGAATCCTTGTCCCTCATCCTGACCCCCACCATTGACCTGATCAGCCCCACCAAACTTGGTGGCAACACCTTGGTGGCAGAGCAATCACTTTGCAAACTGCAGGCATTTGGGCTAGACCCCAGCTGAGCACGTGGGGACAACATGGGCAGCTCAGGTGTGAGCTGTAGGCTGGACTTAGAGGGCATCTGTGAACCTGGGGGTTGCAGCTGTATTTGCCTACAAAATACCAGCTCAGGGTGTTGACCACTACAAAGGAGCATTACTCAGTTTTACCTTTACTACATAAGGTACAGCACAGCAATAGGCTTTTAAATGGAAATGCTTCAGAACTAATTTCAGTAACTTTATGTTTTCTTTTTTGAGAAAATACGCTCATTTTCTTCTGCCTTCATTAGAACAGATTTTTTAATTAAATGGCACTAAAGCTAAATAAGCAGCCCCCATCCAGAAGAGCACTTCCCTTTTACTCCCTTTCTCCTGGGTTGTGTTACTAGTCCCAGTCACGGTCACTCGGTACTCCAGGACTTGTCATCCCAGTGCAGCCAAGTAAAATCACAGCTTATGCTTTCTTCCTGCTGTGTTTCCAGTTTTTGTACCTGTGTACTGGGCCTGAGAAGGCCACAGGTGACACAGGCAAGGAACAAAACTCAATGTAGTGCAATGCTGCTGGTACACTGGGCCTGCACGTGGACATCTGCTGGGCTCTGCAGTGGAAACCCAGTGAAAATCCAGAGCAGTAGAGAAGCCCTGCCCTGCAGCTGGTCTGTAAACATGCCTTTAGGTCCGTTTCATTGCTTTGGGCAGTAACTCATGTTTTTAAATGCCAGCACTGTTAAGTCTGAATCTTTGTAGAATGGTGGCTCTGGTGTCTTTTTCATGGAGGAGACAAGTCAAAGAACTCAAAACTAAGGCAGACTGGTGAAAGCTGCTCGTCCCTCCCTTTGTTTTCCTAGTAAAGGAGATGCATGCTGGCTGTGCCCCTGAGTTTAAGGCACTCCTCACTGTTGCCCTTCTGCCTGGTGAGCGCTGCGCCTGGTATGACTGCAGGCTCGTTTCGCATCCCAGGTAATGAGACAACCTCAATTTAATTAAGTATGCCAGGGCAGACAGACTACCAATTGATCCATAGAGGAGCCTGATTTCAGCCTCACAACTTCAGGTCAAGTTATGTATGAGCTGTTAACTCCTCTAATTCCCAAATATCCAACTACACAGGATTATAATGTGGCAGGAGACTCGTGTGTGCATGTAGTGTATTTTCTGTGTAGTTGTTCTTTGTTTTCATATATGTATCTCTCACTTTCCTAAATTATGAAAGCCCTTCCTTTATTTGGTCAGCAGTTGTGATTCTGTTGTTCACATGAGTCTAGGATTATCAGCAAATCTATAAAGTTTCCTTACTGCTTTGCAAAAATAAGCCTCAAACAAATAAATCATGTTAAGGCTAGTAAAGTAAAGCATCGTTTTTACAGCTATGACCTGGATTTATTTCTTACTGCATGCTTGCACTCCTGTCTGCTGAAAGCAGCTGCCATGGGGAGGGGATGTTATACAACTGTTTGTAACTGCTTCCCATTCCCTACACCCAGCTCACCCAAGCACTCTTTGGAGCTGAGCTATGGTAGTGGCACTTTGCTATGAACCACAGTATATTTCAGCTGTGTTTTACCATGCATGTGACAACTGCGCTCTGCAGAAAGGACCCTGCAGATTAGCATCCAGCTGGGTTGTTTTGAACTTGTCCAAGAGAGAAGGACATTAGTCAGGCTGCAGCTTCATCCATGCCAGTCACGGAAGAAATGAAGAAATCTGGGACCTTGCAAAGTACTTTATTTAAAATATAATGGTATCTCACAGCACATGCTGCCCTTAACTGTGTTAGGCTGTCACCCTCTGATATATTGCTGGGTTATTTCTGTCACGTCCAATATTAACAGACATTCTCCCTCTTTCCCTTTCCAGCTGTTCAGAAGCATCACAGCCGAGCAGACTTGGTTTCCTTGTCCAGAGTCAGAGGATGAATTACACATCTTCCCTTCACCAGCTACCTAATCAGCTGTTGGAGAGGAAAATAAAAATGGTGCCTGGCTTTATGAGAATTGATTTATGAGAACTACCTTCATGCTGAGGCTGCCACCCTTTTTACTTCAGAGGAGCTGCTAAGGACCTATCATCTGCTGCTCTGATCTCATGCCCTGTGCTTTGGAAGCATTTGAATCACTTTCTCTGCTTGGCAGATGTTGTAAAAAGGTGGGCCAAGCCCTCACATACAATACCTCCTCTCACTTCTAGGTCTAAATTTGGCTACTGCAGTCCCCTCCTCTTTCCTGTGTCTGCTCCTTAAATAGAAGAGCATGTGCAAAGAGCTGCTCTGGAATACTCAGTGTGGTTTTCCAGTACAGAGCCTGGCCATGACCTCCAAGCAGAAGGCTGAAGAAACCTGTCACAGAGTAGGTCTTTTAGGGGTGGTGCAGGTGACTGGGACCTTTGAGGGATTCCTAAGCCCACGGTGAGGTGGGAAGTCCTGAAAAAGATATATGGGAGGAAAGGATAATAGTGGCCAAGACAGCTGTTGGCTGCCTGCTTTGCTTCTGCAGAGGCAAGGGCTCACCCAGGGCTTCGGACTGCAAAGAGATAGATCTGAAGACTGGCTCAAAAATCTGGAGCCTTAAAAATGTGTTTTTTTTTTTTTTCCCCTGCATTGCCAGGCTGAGCCTTTGGGGTTTATATTTCCAGCTCTTTGCTGTGACTGTAAGGAACAGAAACCTCTTGTCTTATTCTTTGCACCCCCTGAGGTGCCCCGAGGATCCATGGCTTTCAGATGACCCCAAACCACTGCCAGGATGGACTGGTGAACGATGGCCAGGAGCCACCACTGTCGCTCACCCACTGCAGAGCAGCAGCGCTGAGCAGCACGTGCGCATGAGGGGAGAACACCTGCACATGCAGCGCCTGGCACAGACTAATCTAGACCAGCTTCCAAAGCTCAGAGCTTATCGCAACAAAATGTAAAACAGGAGCAGGAACAAGAAACTCTTTTTTAAAGGTCTGATGTTGCTTCAGGCTTTTTCAAAAGTCAGGAACATCTTTATTAGGGAATTGTGGAACCAAGGTATTGCTTTCTGCTTGTGTCAGTGCCTTTGCACAGCTCCCCTCCTGTGCTGCACTGGTGCTGAGGAGGCAGGAGTGTCCAGCTGGGCAGCCTGGCACTGTGGACACCACAGAGGGGTGAGGAGGGGCCAAGGGGCAGGAGACAAACCAGGCTGTGCTTGCTTTCTGCCTTTCCTTTCCAGGCAGTTTTTGCAGACTGGCTGCCAGGGCTGAGTGGGAGCGGTGGGAGCATTTAAATACATGCACTAGCACATGCATTACTAAATCAGCCACTTTAAAACACTGTCTTTAATTTACTGCCTTTGATTGAAGTCATAGCAGTGATGACCATAGCTTGTCGTTCTGTTTGCTTCTCTGCCCCATCACATAGACCCACTTGACAGAGCCTTGGGTGACATGGTTTACTATGAGGTGTCCCTGCCCATGGCAGGGGAGTTGGAACTAGATGATCTTAAGGTCCTCTCCAACCCTAACTATTCTTTCTGGGTGCAGCTCATGGAGTCAGTGCCCTGGTGGGAGACAGAGGTGATGTGGCCATCACTGCTCTGCACTTGCTGCCATCTCCTGCCCAGCCAGCATGTGGTGGTGCCTGCAACTTGATGCCCACTGGCAGTGGATGGGAGAAGCCCCATGAGGGTATGCTGAGAGGTAGCCATCACTACCATACTGCTGCTGCAGGGCCCCACAGTCACTCACAGTCAGGCATTGCCCTGGGGGAGCACTGGTGGGCTTTTCCTCTCCTTCCTGGTGCCATGAGTGTGCCCAGGGCTCCAGAGCCACCCCAGGGTATGCTAGTGGCTGTGATGCTCAGCGGTCACCCCAGGCAGCTCCTTCTCACCTGCTGCTGTGCAGCCAGGGACAATGTCTGTTTGCTGGCATGGGCCCGAAGTGAGCTCAGGGAAGGGTTTGGGGAGCCTTCAGCTGGGCCTGGCAACGGGACATTAATAACATGTGTTACAAGCCCTGGAACTTAAATATTTTGCTGCTATAAATGTTAGCAATGAGAGATCTTGTTACATTTAAATGCCAGATGACGGAAGCAGAGGCCAAAAAAAGCACCCTTCCCAGCCAAGTGGGAAGAGAAGGGGGTGAGTGCGCCAGCAGGGCCGGCAAGCACAGGACCGGCACTGGGTGCACTGGGGAAGCCCACACCAGGCAGGAGCGGGCAGGGGGCACAACCTGGCCATGGTGCCTGGGGCTGTGGGGAGGAAGGGGCTGGCGTTGCTCAGCAAAGCCCTGTGAGCGTGACACCATGCAGGGCACCAAGCAGAGGTGTGCCAAGTGCCTATGGAGCCAGTGACCGCAGGGGAGAGCTCACCCATATTATGGTCTTGGCCTTTGAGATAGTAAAGAGCTTGTATTTTCCACTCCAACCTCCTATGCTCAGCCATGTATCCCGTGACTCCGTTGTGAGAGTTCTCATGGGCTGAAACTTGGCACACGAGGTCTCCCACCCAGCTGGGGAGCAATTTTAATCATTTATTTTTCAACATAATTTCAATAAATTCCAGTTGGCTATTCCTAAATAACACCCAGAGCAGAAAGACGTTGCACAGCCGTGTGAAGCGAATCTTTGCAATTAGAGAACTTGAACACTTTTTGGTGGGTGTTTTGGTAAAAACAAAATGTTGCATGTGATCGGTTTGGAAAGCAGAGGACTAATTACAAGCGCTGTTTCAAAAAAATGGAATGAAAATGAGTTATGCTGCTAACGCTCAGATGCAAGAACATGGTTTGCTTAATTTAATAATACTGTGTAATTTGTGTAAAACTGAATTAGTAGCAATTATACGTTATTGTTAATTACTTGGAGTGGGGTTCTCCTCTCTGTGCTTGCACCTGGCTCCCTGATGCCACCCAAGTCCATGGGATTTACAACATAAAGGTGTGCGGGCGATGTAAGGACTTGAACAAGGAGAAATAAAGAAGGTGCTCAGGGTCAGGCCCTCTTCAGAGTATGCATGTCCTCCGTCCTGTCCTGATGCTAATTAAATCTCCTCAGAGGAATTAATGAGAGTTTTGCACGCAAGCACTGGGACTGCAAGGACAGGCCTCGCCGGCTGGCTTCAACAGCTCGAGCTTGGCTCCTTTTGTGACTCATGCGCCTGACTCACAGACGCCTGATGAAATACATGTACTCTCAGTCAAATTTATCACAGCTAAATATTAAAGCAAACTCTTTAATTTCAAACCCAATACTTCCTGGGGTTTTCTCAGCAGCTGCACTCAGAATGGTGATGTACACTTGGGAAAGGGCAGTGATGCAAGTGTCACTACCTTGCAATTGAAAGACTTGCTTATTTGCTTATATACATACATATATATATATTTAGAAATTTCCCCAAGGCAAAAGGAAACAGTTCATGACAAGCAGCAGCTTGGAAGGTCATCTGGGTTATTATTTCTGCAGCTCACCTCCAGCACATAGGCAAAGTCTTTATGTACAGATTTTAATGATGCTAAAAGAGTTTAAAACCTTAGCAATGGTTCAATTAATTATTAGTTAGGCTTTTTCATGTACAGCCTCATTTCAGGTACTTTAACAAAAATATCTGTTACTGTGTATTTTTGAAGGAATAATAGTGTTGGCTTGTGTGGTTTTTTATGGCTGAAGAGGCCTCATTGTTTAGCTTTGTGCTGACCCTGAGCCATCCCACCATGCTTCTGCTGGCAGCAGTGCCCGTCCAGGCAGCCTGGACCTGGGAAGGTCCCTACAGCCCTGCCTGCCCTCTCCTGTGGTGGGAAGGGAATGGCGCTTACCACTGCATGGCATTGTGACCAGGCTGCTTGCTGCACGATGAAGCCCCCTGTGCCTTGCCCACGGGGTTCTGTGGGGCTGCATTGGCACAGGAACATTCCCATAAACCTTCTTGGGGTGGATTTGCTTTGAGAGTGCCCAGTAATCTGTCTAATGGCTGCTTGGGCCAAGTGGGGCTCCACTCCTCAGGATGGCAGATTTCCCGTTCAATTGCAAAGACACAGGAGTCTGAAAAGAGATCATTTTACTAAATGAGGTGACTGGTCTGGGGGTCCAACAACTCCTTAGTACTCCAAAAATTTCCTCTATGTCATCTTTAAACTGTGTGAGCTGTTTCTATGCTCACAAAGCATTGTGAAGTGGTTTTACTTGAAATTTCAGCTGCTCCAATGAGGCAGAATTTATGAAGTACAAAAGGGTTTCATGTTACCATGGTAATAATTTCAAAACAGAGGAGCCTGCTTTTGCTATACTTGCAGTCTGGTTGGGAGAGTTTTCTGCGTGGAAGGGTGACAGGGCAAACCTGCTCTACAGCAAAAGGTGTGCTCTGCTTGCAGTTGTTTTCTGGGGCCCACATACTTCTAAAGAGCAGGATATTTGCATTAACATTAATAGGTTTATTCTAATGTCTGTGCATGACAATTTATGTGCATAGTACTCCTTTCACATGGACATGCCATTATCACACCTTAATACAAACACTGTACACTTGCATGCGAATATCCTGCTCTTTACACATATGTGGGCCCCAGAAAACAATTGCAAGCAGAGCACACCTGGTATCCTCCCCAAGTCACCGGCCAGCAGCAGAACCAGCAGTCCTGGTTCTGGGACACCACTGACAGCCATTAAACAAAACACATTGTCACAGTACTCATCTTAGACTTCAGCCCTGTTATGTTTTTTTTTTCTCCCAGATAACGTTATTATAGATAAAATTCTACTTACAGCTGGAATTTCTTATCAACAATTACAATACTGGTAGAAAACACAATTGAAGAAAACCTGCACCTTTTGGAAAGCAAATTTATTTGTAAGGATGCTTATAATGATGAATAAGAAGTGGTATTCAAAAGGACAGAAAACAATCATGTTTACAGATTATCCTGAGATTACTTTACTAATTTTCCCCCATTTTCACTATTAATTGAAAATCAGCTGCATGTAAACTGTACGTGATCCAAGCTGTGGGCAGGAGCTGCTGAGTCCTAATTCCAGTTTCCAGCCTTGGTTCCTTCTGTGGTTTTGAACGAGCACTTAGCAACAGCTGTCCCTTAGCAAGCCATGCGTGGGTTACTCAGAAAATGACAGTTTCCAAAACCCATGTTGTTCTACCAAACGTGAAGTGGAAACTTTTTCATGCAAAGTGTTTCTAAACCGTGCAGTTTCTCATGTCGCCTGGAAATCCTGCAACCTGTCATTAGTTAGAGATGGCTTTTAATCCAACAACGTCACCCTTTGTTATGAGCTCTATTAACCACATGGGCTACTATTTTCAAACGCGCTTTAGGCTGCCAATAAGCAGCTAGACGTTCAGAAGTGTTGGCTGTCAGCACCACCTGTAGAGCCTCAAGAGAAGCTTGGCATTTCTGGAAATTTAGCTGTTTACTTAGATTCTGTAAAGTCTTATTTAGATACCCAACCTTTAGTCTTCTCTTTTGGAAAATGGTCCTTGTTAAAGCTGTGTTTTCTCCTGAGGAACACCTACACATGAGCTACTTGAATGTCACATTCAGTTATTTGGCAGTATGCTGTGGAAAATTACTGGCCTTGTACTGTTCAGCCAAATGTAGACCTATCTATATTTTTAAGTGAGTTAGTATTCTTTTCTCTGTTTAAAACATTCCTATTACTCATAATGAGTCAAATCCTGGCCCCATTTGGAGAATGGTGCATAAATGGGCTGTACACACAAAGAAGCTTTTGAGGGAGCACTTCACAAACCCTCTGAGCACCTGGCTTTTCCCAAGGGAATCAGCATTCACTTCCCACCCCACACCACCACTGCTGTGATCACCACCCATATTGCCCCAGCCTGACTCATGATACATCACCATGTCTTCTGTTTTCACTCCCCTTAGTCTCTTGCCTCTTGTCTCAGAGCAGCTCACATCACTGCTTGGAAAGTGCTGTACGTGTTGAGAAAAAGAACAAAATAAGTCATATAGGAGAAGCAGCACAGGGTGCATCATGCCTCCCCTCTGGCCCGAAATCTTTCTGTGCCACTCTCTACAGCTGCAGGCAGCAGTTCAGCCAGCCTCGGGGTCTTGTTACCATCATAAGCACATGGTTTGACAGTGTTCCTGTGCAGACCTTTGGTGTCTGCCTTCCCTGGATCAGGAAGGAGACCTCTGTGGGTCACCTGCTGGTATGTGCTGCAGGCTGTTAAAGCCTGATGTGCTCCATGTTCACCAGCAGCAGAGCTGTGCTGGGCAGTGTTGCCTGGGAAAACAACCATGGTCTAGCTCAGCTTCAAGCACAGAATGATGCTCCCAGGCAAGTGAGAGCACACCATGGGGCAATGATGGCAGCCCCATGCTGATCACAGAGGGACATGTGACTCCTGATAAAGTCAAAGTCTTTGGGAACAAGTTAATGTTTCAGACAGGGTATGACAAATGAGGCCTGACAGAATGGTTTCATGCAGCCTGAGCTGCTGGTGTCATGGGACTCGCCTTCCTCATTGCCATTGAGCACTCTGCTACTGTGTCACTGTCTGGAGGATACATGGAGCGTCACAGGGAAGCCCTGTATCATGGGACTGGAGTTAGGAAGGTATGCGAGCACCACAAGGTCAATATTATTTGGGAATTTCTGATGTAGTCTGTTTAGAGTTGCTCAGGCTTGTATAAAATGCAGGTTTTCATGTCCTTAATCCATCATATGATAATTTAAAGGCTCTGCTAATAGTAAATAGATGCAGCTATTCTGGAAATCTGCTTTGTTATTCCTTTTAGAGAGAAACCTGTACCTTTTCAGGAACTTGCATTGACATTTACTTTGTGCAACTGGCAGGGACTGGGAGAATGGAAAAACCTACTGTACGAGAAGGTCAGGTTTGAGACCATCTAAGAAATCTGAAGATGTGTAAGTCCATGGGATCTGATGAGATGCATCCATGGATCCAAATGGAACTGTCCAATGAAGGGGCCAAGCCATTATACATCCTATTTGACAAGTCGTGGCAGTCCAGTGTAGGTCCCACTGACTGGAAAATGTCAAAAGTAACCCCCATTTTTAAAAAGGGAAACAACAGGGAACTACGGGCCTGTCAGTCTCACCTCAGTGTCCAGCAAGGTTTTGGAGCAGATCGTGTTGTGGCTGACATACTGGAAGGAAGGGTTGCTGTCTGGAGGGACCTGAGCAGACTTGGGAGAGAGGATTGGGAAAACGTGATGAAGTTCAGCAAGGCCAAGTGCAAGGTCCTGCACCTGGGTTGGGGCAATCCCAAGCACAAATAGAGGCTGGGCAGAGACTGGATTGAGAGGAACCCTGAGGAGAAGAACTGGGGGTGTTGGTTGATGAGAAGCTCACCATGACTTGGCAATTAGCATGCTTGCAGCCCAGAAACCAAACGTGTCCTGAGCTGCACCAAAAAGAATGTGACCAGCAGGTCAGGGGGTGGGATTCTCCCCCTCTACTCCACTCTTGTTAGACCCCCTGCAATACTGCATCCAGCTCTGGGGCCCCCAACATGAGAAGGACATGGAGCTGTTGGACTGAGTCCAGAGGAGGCCTCAAAGATGCTCCTAGGGCTGGAGCACCTCTGCTATGGAGACAGGCCAAGAGAGCTGGCCTTGTTCAGCTTGGAGATGAGGAGGGTCTGGGAGACCTTAGAGCAGCTTCCAGTGCCTAAAGGGGCTGACAAGAAAGCTGGAGAGCAGCTTTTTACAAGGACCTGTAGGAATGAAGAAGAATGGCTTTAAACTGACAGAGAGGAGATTTAGATCGGATATTAGGAAGAAGCTTTTCCTTGTGAGGCACTGGCACAGATTGCCCAGAGCAGCACTGGCTGCCCCATCCCGCCTCGGGGGTATCCGGTTGCGGCTCTTCCCGCGGTCACTGCGCTGTTACGGGGCAGGTCAGATGCCGGTCCGGAGCCGCTGCCCAGACCCACAGCTCACCAGCGGCGCTGCCGAGCCCCACTCGCCGCCGCCAGGGGGCGCGATGAGGCGGAAGTGACGCGTCGGGCCGAGAGTGACGGTCGCCAGCGGCCATTGGCGGGGCGGGGCGTTTCGCCACAGCCCCCGCCGCCTCCCCGCCCGCCGCGCCGTCCCCTTTGTCAGCGCTCCGCCGCCGCTCGGCGCTGCCGCGGGCATGCGGGCGGGCCGCGGGCAGCGACAGCGCCGGGCCTAAGCGCGGCGGCCCCGCCGCCCATGGCCAGCCCGCCGCGGCAGTGAGGAGGTGAGTGCAGTCGCGCACTCGGCCGGGCCGGAGGCTGAGAGGCGCGGAGCTGCGGGAGGAGCCGCCTTGGGCCGTGGGGAGCCGCGGCGGGGGTCGCCCGGCCGCTGCTGGCTGGTGTGAGGGGCTGTGCCCGTCCCCGCCGCGCAGGCCCTGCCCCTGCTCCGCCAGCCCAGAGGCTGTTGTCGTCGCGGCCCCTGCCCGAGGTTGGGGGGGGGGGGGGGGAAGGAGGAGGGAACGTCGTAAAATCCGGGAGGGGAAATTCCTGTGGGCTGTCCTCCCGACTCCGGGAGATTCACCGAGCAAGCGGCTTTCCTCACGGGATGGAAAGCTGAGTGCGCTGCGACCACCGGCGCAGGCTCCCACCCTGCCGCGCAGCGCACCGAGCTGTGTTTGAGCCCGGGGGCAGGCACAAAGGATTCCAGTTCCCTGCGGCTGCTGCAAAGCACACGTATGGTGGTGACCAGCGTTGCTCGGTTCTCCGGTAAACAGGCTGCGGCGAGGAGCGGCGACTCGGGTCCCTTTATTTTCCCCTTAATTTTAACAACATAGACTGATATAAATTGGAGGTGCAGGCTTGTGCTACAACGGAATGAGCTCTTTGAGCATGGTTGTGCTGGCGTTACTAATGTAAGTATGCTGCAGGTCCGTGGTTTGGTAGGAAGAAGAAAGTTACAGGCCAAAGTCCCTTGTACATATCAATCTGTTCAAGGCACTTCTTTTCTGGCCAAATAGGATGGTGTTCTGCACCATGAGTCTATAGGGGTCTAAGCCAGCCTGCCTGTTTAGAGTCATGCAGCTCTGAATTTTGGGAGGAAACAAAGGGGACAGTAGGCCTGGTGCCTGAATTCTTGTCACGACTGCTGGTGATGGAGGACGGGTTGCTCCAGGCAGGCAGCCTTTTTTGCAGCCCGCTCAGTTCTGGGTGTTAACCTCAGGGCTTTTAAAACTACATGCTGGTTTGTGAAATCTGATGCATGAATATAGTAGTGGAAGCTGTCTGGGTAGCCTTTCCAACTCTGTTAGTCTGTAAAAATGTGTTAAAGTAACTTGTTTCTAGGAGAACTTGTACAGTACCCAAGAGCTGAACCGCTTTATTTTCTGCAAACTGGGAGAGAGATTGTGGTGTTACTGGCGGCATCATCAGGTGTAAACTTTGAGGTTCTGGACTGAGCTGCAGAACTGGCACTTATGAGTGATGCATTGAGCTTTTGGAAGACAGGTTCTTTTTCCAGTCTTACACGGTTGTGGTATGCATTGAAATGCATCTGTAGTGGATCTCAGCCTTTCATTTAAGAAAACTCCTATGGTTGTAGCAGTTTGCTGTGGGCAATGACAGGTCTATTTTTAAGTCTTCAGTTTTCTTTTGTTTCCTGTCATAGGATCTTTACTATGATCCTTCTACTTCATCTTCAGAGAAACAGGAGTGACCTGGAATGCAGCGGGCACTTTGTAAATATTCTCCAGGTTTGGTCCTTGAAGGTCTAGTGCTGTTTGAAGAGTACTGGGTTGCCTTGAAATTGAAATCAGCAAAAGCTGATGCCCTGAATGTGGAAAGCTCTCAAGTGCACGTCTGGGTCCTTTGATGACCACAACTTTTTTTTTGAGGAGGTGTTACAGATCTGTTTTAGGGGAACAAAAAGTTCCTGTATACACTCTGCTTTCCCTGGGAGGTGCTAAGTGTGTGTGATGTTTTGAGAGGTTTACCTTCCATCTCAGTATTTTGTTTGCTGGGATAAGGCCTGCATTCCTCTGCTTTGTTTAAGGGGGGTGGGGGTGCTACTCCTTTGCCTAATGGCATGGGACTTGGGAGTAGTTATCGATTGGAAATCTCTGCTTATTTGTCTTCTCATGCTGTAAAGACAGGTGCTTCCTTTTGTCTGCTCCTGTTTCCATCTCAGGACAAACTTTAAGGTCTGTTGCTGTGACTTGGATCACTCCTCAACCGTTTCAGTTTATAAATAATCAGTGTTGTGGTTCTGAGTTGTAGTTAGGCCAAAAAGTATAGGAGGTGAGGCTGTTAGTTAAATGGAACAGCCTGAGGGAAGAAAACTGTTACATATTTAGTTTTTTTGTTGTTGTTGTTGTGGGTTTTTTTTGTTTGGTTTTTTTTTTCAGTTTTAAGTCTTATGTTTCAAAGTTGCAAGCTGAGAAAGGGAAATCCTACTGATGGGGACTGGTGATGTTTCCAGAGACATTGTTGACTCTGCAAGTTCCATTGCACAGTAACTGTTGCTAACTCATTTTCTCATCACTTATTTTTATATATACATTAGAAAACTGGATCATGTAGCTGTTGATGTTGTTAATTCGTGTTTGTGCTCTCTGTAGAGAATACTGTGGCTCCAGTAGTTAACTTTTAAAAGTATTTGTGAAGGCCTGAGTGGTGCATGCAGAAGTTCAGCCTCACACTTGGTGGACTTAAGTCATAAAGTAACTTTGGCCATATTATGTTCTTGGAGCTTGCAATGTAACATGCTTTGGGAGATGAGAGGTGCTTTTGTGCCTTAGTAGCTGGATTTTTGATATTCTGATGATTGTTTACAATCGTCTGTATTAGCATGTATTCAGTCGGTTGCATTTTTCTGCTGAGGTGACCTGCGAAAGCTTACCTCTAACACCATTTAGGAAGATTCTTCTGCAGGAGAGTGTGAATGTGTTGAGGAGCTGAAGTGAAAGGGGAGGTCTAAATATAGCCATTTCCTGCAGAACTTGCCTGTTTTTGAGGCTAGCTCTCCAGAATAAATTCATGTCTCCCCAAGCCAACAGAGTGGGGCTTCTTTTCTTGTTTTAGCCATTGCAGCCTGACTGTGGTCAGTAAATCCCAGTGCAGGTGGAAGGGAAAACCAGAAGGCTTGGTGGCCAGGGCTGGGGCAAGGCATGTGGCAACGTAACTTGAGGTGGTACCATTCGCCTGCCTCCAAACTGTGTCCAGCAGGGAAGGAATGGAGACTTGCATCATCTTGCCAAAACTGCCAGACACAGCAGCAGCAGAAGCATCAAATAGCTTATTTGGAGGGATGGAAATGAGTCTGAGAGAGGGATAAAAGTCATTTGGAGAAACATCATCTCTCTCTTTGAAGCTGTGCTCTGTCCTTGTTTTGCTCTTTCACAAGCTGCATGCTTCTTAGGAATGGAGAAAGCAGTGGGCTCTTGAGCAGTGAAGAAGCTCTTGGGGTAGGAAGAGAACAAAGGCGGGGGAAAGAACACCAGTGGGGTGTTATGGGTGGGTTGTGTATGTTTTTTTTTGTTGTTTTTCGCAGTTTTTTTGGACAGCTGGTACTCTGAAGTCATGCTTATATTTAATGAAAGCCTGATGCTAAAATAGGATCTAGGGACAGCCGTTGTAAAATAATTAGGCATCCTTTTAGCCCCCTCATCCCTGCGAAAAGAAAAACCAGCCTTGCTTGTGTTCACTTGTCTTCTTGGGTATTTGAACTCTCAAATGGGTATCTCTATCTGCTCTTCTATCTTTCATCTATTCGACTGTGTATGAAACAGGCTAAAAACTTAGCCCACTCACCTAGGCAGCTATATAGAGCTGTAGAAGATTACAGTGGTGGTGTTGAATGCAGTTGGTTTCTGAGCGGTAATTGCTCTCTCCCAGACTCTCTGTGTGTAAGAATTCATGCAGATTGGTTAGGGTGGATTGCAGGCTGGCCTTGATGAGGGCATGCTTGCCTGTTAGGCGATAGGTTATTTGCTTTGAGATTTGAGGGTAGTCAAGACAGACAGTTTAAAAGCATGTTAGTTACAAAGGTATCCAACACTGTCTAAGAAGGCACCTTTTAAGTTCTGCTCTAGACAAGTTCAGCAACTACATGTTAAGTACATAACTAATTTGCATCTTTTGCATATCTGTGTGTATCTGTAAAGTAAGGAATGATGGTATTTCTTAGCAGTGATGTGAATTCAGCTTTCCAAAAGTTTACAAGTATTTTGATAGTATGAATTTAGAAGATGCTGTTGACTGTGAAATTTATGGAGTTCCATGGAAATGCTTTCAAGAAATTCCTTTTTTTCAGGCAAAACACAGTTTAGGTTAATGCTTTCAAAAGTAAGACAGTGTAGTCTAATGGCATTAAGTAGTTATAATGAAATAATTTTCTGTGGTATATTGGACCAGGATCATGCACATGACCCAGTTTCAGCTGATAGGAGATCCTTTCCTTAAAATGTGTTCTTTTGCAATTATATGTATGTAGCTCAGAGTTCACAGGTTCCTCCTTTAAGGTGATTTGCATTTGTAAGTCTTGCTAGGATTTGGTACATGCTCTCAAAATTTTACTCTTGTAACAAGATCTACAGTGAACTAACTGGTGATAAAGTAGCATTGAGTCTAGCCTTTGACAGTAATTCTGTGGGATGCCAACTGTTTTCTCTAAGGAACATGAGAAGTATGCTGATATTCCTAGTGAAATAAGTACATTACTATTTTTTTCATGTGAAATGAAGTAGTGATACATTTTAGAAATTTGATGGTGTTCTTTGCTAGCAGTTCAGATGCTGTCCTTCCCCTGGAAGGTCAGAACTGACCGTGTGATTCATCTGCTGGTAAGTAGTCAACATCAGGTGCTGCATCACGGTCTGCCAGTTGTTATACGATCCCATCTTTAAACAGGGTTCTTTTGATCTGCTCTTTCATTTCATGCTGTATTCATCCTGGTTGTTGGTGCTCCACCTTGTTTGCTGAACCAGTGCTAACCGTGAATACTGCTCTGTGGCATAGTGGCTATGCCTGGCAGGCCAGGCAGTGAGGTTGGATCCCAGGGCCTGTTGGACCGAGGATTCTGCCCAGTTCTCGTTTGAACATGTTTTGCATTCTCTGTGTCTGAAAATTAGTGTGCCACCAGGTCTTAAACTCCTCTAAAGATCCCAAGATCAACGTCCCTCATCTCAAGTGGTTGTGCTCTGTTCTGTTTGAGTACAAAGGCAGCATAAGTCTCTAGGCAATTGGAGTAACTCCTTTTTTGTTCAGATCCAGTTTCTTTGTGCTCAGGACCTGCTGTTTTACATGGGGTTGGCTCAGTCTAGTTCTACAAAGCTTTGTAAGGTGGTGTAGGTGCAACATGTCTGACTTAACTCATTTGCTGAGGATAGAGATGTTTCAAAGAGTATGGTATTAGAGGTCTTAAAGTCACAACTGAAATGTGAGTAAATGAGAAATGACGATTTTATATTTTTTTTCTTATGATGCAAGAAATGGGGAATGTTGTGTGTTGTTGATAGCAGTTTTGAAATTAGGAAAAATAAAGGTTTTGTGTAGTGCCTGTTCAAGTTACAGAATAATGGCAGTGGGACATTCAAAAGATTTTTTTTTTTTTTTGTAAGGAATTTTATATGTTTGTAGATCGGTGGATGGATCATTAAATACAGTAGTCCAGATGCAGTTTAGGCTTTGGAATTTGTCTCTGACTGGGAAGCATGGGGTCAGGGGCCAGAAGAAGGTGAAAGTGTGACCTTTGCATGCTGTGTCCTTGTGCT